GACTGGACATATTTCGATTCGCTTTTAATTCTTAAGGACCAACCAAATGATACCAAGAACAAGTTCGGGAAATTTTCATGAAGAAGAGGAGGAATCTGAACTAACTGAGATGCAGGAAGAATTGATAGAAAGGCATAGTGTCAGTGATGATGAGTCTCGAAGTAATACGATAACTACTTTTCTTTCTCCTCGAAGTACTCCATTTCCCTCGCCATCTGCCCCAGTACCCAAAAAAAATTAAAAACGAAAGGTAGAAACACTGACTCCATTGGGGAGGGCATGTTAAAAAATTAGGAAGAAAAAGTAGCTTATTTGAAGCGAAAAGAAGAAATGAGGCAAGCAAAGGAGTTTAAATGTATTTTGCCTCATGTTAGATCATTTTCAGCGAAACAAAAAATGTCGTTTCGAATTCAAGTTTTACAGCCATTAAATAAAGAAATACCTGGAGCCTCTACATCGAAATCAGAGCAGAACTTACATCTAAAGCCAATTTCTCTTAATTACTTTACTCCGAGTACAAGTACTTCAATGATGCACCAACATAACAGAATGATGACATATTTTACACTCCCAAAAACAAGCCAATATATTGGCGCCTACCAAATGATGGAAAGATCAGACAATAATTAGGACAATAATTACTGTTTGTTTATATTATTATCTATTAAAATATGTTATTTATTATTAAATTTGATATATTTACCACCAAACAGTTTTCGATGCACTTCATCAATCCATCTGATAATTGACCCTCAAGCCCATAAACCTAACTATATGAAATTTAAGCGAATAAAAATGTTAAAATCTGGCCTACTAATTGCATGTACCAAATAACTCTATTTTACTTACTTACTTACCTACTTTACCCACTCATTTGCAGATAGTCTTTCTTCCACAGTTATTGGAGGCAAGTGAAAGTTGTGCCAACTTTTATTTATACTCCCTTCGATTCTGTTCTTAATGTAATCAAATGTGTCAATAATCATTCGCATATACTCAAAGAACCGTTGAGGATATTTTCCTAAATCTCCATAAAGGTGGTGAAACTCGCCATAGGAATGTCGTTTTTAAATAAGTTCGTGCGTATGTTCCTTTTGTTTTTCTTTAAGCGTGTACCATTTAGGCAAACAAGAACTATACAAAATATCTTCTTCGTCAGAAGGAAACGGCATGGTTGTTTCTACACCCTTGCAGCAACACTGAATAAGAATTTGAAGTGCGAAGCGCTGCACTGTGGACTCTTTTCACCATGATACAGGGCGATGCTCTGTTCTAGGCTATGGGCGGTGCGATGTGTGATGCAATGTGCGGTGCGTTGTTGTGGACATACACTTATACTAATAAAAATCTAGATGAAATCGCTTATCAAAACCATTTGTCTAAAAAAGATGAAGCCCGTACAGAAAAAGAGTCTTACAACTCGTTTTTACCATCGACCTCCAGTCTATTTTGCTATGTATCCAGCATCCAGTTAAGTATGTCCAGTTTATATTACAAGACTAAACTAATAGTTCACAACTTCACATTGTTCAATCTAAAATCAAAAAAAGGGTATTGCTACAAGTAGCAATACCCTTTTTTTGATGTTCATGACACAAGTGTCATGAGGGGGAAACCGGATTAACACTCAAAGTTATTGCTTCGATCATTTATCATTTACTTACTCACGTAATTGGACCCGATGGAATACCAGGAGAATCATTTGTACTATTAAGTGATGTATGTACATGGCAAAATCGAAATGCAATCTTGTCAAATGCTTTAATTAATTTGACAAAAGAAAAAATATCGCTATTGAGCAAAAATATTTGTGGAAAGGCCACACCCAGATGGAATGCGATTCAATGTATTCAACCATTGAACGAAAACTGCGTAAAAAATCATCAATGTTCCTGCGGATTACGTTGAAGTATTCAAAACAGCACGTTGAAATCCAAAAATCTACATTGTGCAATATCTCGATCACACTTTTTTCTAAAACTTTAATAAACTTAAATATATTATAAAGGCGCTGACATATAATTATTATTTTCCTACTGATATTAAATAACTAAATAAGTTTAAAATTCTACTTAAAAAGTATTTTTGAATTTAGGTGTCTCATTTTAACAAACATTGTTTTATTCATTGTGGTCGTAGAAAAAATATAGTGTGTTACTTTTGTAGAAAACCTATTTCACACTCATGTCACAAGTTTTACACATCTAGTATACCTACTTATTGAGTAAATTTTATTGCTGTAAATAAAATCGAATAAGTTGCAGAAATAAGTTATATATACTCGTATTAAAGGTTGTAGTGAATGTGAATTATTTGCTACTGTTATAAATATTATTTATGTATGCTTATAAATAACGATAATTCTACATTAAATTTCTAAGTAATAAAAAAATGTCCAGAACAAGTCGTAAGTCTTGCGATTCAACTACAGATAAATTTATATCTGTAATGGATCATGTTCAGATGACCGGTGTGAAGTTAGTAGTCCAAATTTACTAGCCCGTTTTCCGAATACAACCGAACAACCAATGGCGTCGGTTCAATGAAAATAATATTGGTATTTATAGTTGTCTTAAAAGGGCAATCTTTAAACACCGACAAAGGGGTACAAATTACCCATAAATAATAAATATTTCTATAATCAGCTTTATAAAAATCATTTAAAATAAAATTACAATTTTAATTTGTAAAATCACGTATTTAAATGTTTCATAGAGGAGAAACCGCCCTCTATATTAGCTAATGAGAAAAAAATGTATCAACTTAAAAGTTACGCTAGAATTACTGTTTTATTATGTACAATCATGTTCTTAAGCCGCTATAATTTGGAAAACTAAAAAAGAGTAGAAACCACCCTCTAAATTAGAAAATCTGTTTTATAGCTAACCAGAAAAAATGGCTCAACTTAAAAGTTACGCTAGAATTACCATCTCATTATGTTCATTTCGAGAGATTGAAAAGGGTAGAAACCACCCTCTGTATTAAAAAATATTTTCTATAGCTAAGCAGAAGAAACGTATCAATTTAAAATATTTTAAATTATTGTCCAGGTTATGGTTAAGCTAGAGTATGTAACGCGCAAAAGAAAATTAAAGCCTTGCCAGTCAGGTCCTACCTTTAAGTTTCCCGGCTTCCTGATGCTTACTTCTTTCCTGGGCGCGTCCACCCTATGCTGCAGGGGTCGTGGACTGTATATTAGGGGCTGGTATTTGACGGGAATGTAGAATTACCGGTTCTGTATCTAATAATCGCAAGCTTAAACAGATCTGTATTTTACGACACTCGAGGCGATACTGATTTCTGCCCGGTCGGTCGAATTTTTACTCGTTCTTCGCCACCGCGGATATGGCCGTTTACTCATTAGGGCAATACCGTCTTGGCAAAGTATAATATTGGGAATAATAAATATATATGACATATTACGTTATATACTGGATGATAATTTAAATTTATATTAAATAAGTGAAGACTTAACATACCCCCCACCAAAATACATAGTATTTTTCTAAAATACATTATAAAAAAATAAAGAAAAAATTTACTAAAAACTGAGCAATTTAAGAGAAAAATATAAAATAAAAGCAAAAAAATTAAGAACCATGGGATTACTTGTCCACTGCGGGGAGGGGACACAGTTTTACCAACGGTCGTACAAGCGAACCCTCAGTAGATTTAACAGTTGCGACTCTCGGTATTCCATCAGAACCGGGATGAATTCTAATAATACGCCCTCGTCTCCATCGGAGAGAAGGAGTATTATCCTCTTTAATTAAAACAAAATCGTCTACTCTTACATCAACTCCCTTATTAAGCCATTTATGGCGCTGCTGAAGAGTATGCAGATATTCTGCGTGCCACCGTTTCCAAAGATCCTGCTGCAACCGCTGCAACAACTGCCAGCGGTCCAGGCGGTTGATATTCACTTGAGAGAGGTCAGGACTCGGGACAGAAGTAAGAGGTTCAAGGGTTAGGAAATATCCGGGGGTTAACACTGACAAATCTGAGGGGTCAAAGCTTAATGGATAGAGCGGTCGAGAATTTAAAATAGCCTCAACTTGTACTAGAAAGGTATAGAATTCATCAAAAGTGAGAACTTGGGATCCGATAACTCGGATAAGATGAGATTTAACCGACTTAATCCCAGCCTCACTAAGTCCATTAAAGTGCGGCCCAGATGGGGGAGAAAATGAAAAAGATATTTTTTCAGAATCAGAAGCATCTTTCATCAGCTGATTCAACTCGCGTGATGCTCCCACAAAATTGGTTCCATTATCGCAGAATATTTTTGAGCATCTACCGCGTCGAGCGACAAATCGTCGTAGAGCTGCAATGAATAAGGCACTAGAAAGACTGCTAGCAAGTTCAAGATGAATTGCTTTGGTTGCCGAGCAAATGAACAGACAAACATATGCCTTGTGAGTCTTAATACCACGGCCTTTAAGAGGAGTAACAAAGAAGGGACCTCCGTAATCGACCCCCACACATGAGAAAGGTTTAATTTTATTGATACGAGATAAGGGTAAGTTTCCCATAAAAGGCTCATAAGAGGTAGGCTTTATTTTAAAGCAACGATGACAACGCGACAAGACATGGCGTATTGCCCGTTTTGGAGACAAAATCCAAAATTGTTGGGACAGGAGAAAATGGAGATTTTGCAATCCGGGATGAAAATGTTCATTATGAAAGCATTCAATAATTAAATCTGTGAGACGATGCTTTCGAGGAAGAATGAGAGGAAATTTTTTATCGTATGATAAGCCTGAAAATTGGAGACGACCCCCCACCCTAAGCAGACCATCCTTATCTAAAAAAGGATTTAGTTTTCGAAATGTTTTAGAAAGGGTGTTACTATTTAATTGATCAATTTCATTAGAAAATGAAGTATACTGAATTCTTTTTATTAACACCAAAAGGGCTTCATGCAAATCAGTTGCTGAAAATGCGCAAGTGCGCTTGGGCAAATGTCTTTGAGCATTATGGACAAAGCGTAGGACATAGGCAATTATTCTTTTAATTTTGTTCAAATTTGAATACTTCTCTAAAAGAATATCCAAAGAGTTATTCAGAGATATAAGAGTAGTTAATGTCAGGGACTTTTCTTCTGGACAAGGAACCGTAGAAAACGAGGGTCCAGGCCAATGCTCAGAAGAGGAAGATAACCATTGGGGTCCAACAAACCATAATGAGTGAGATAAAAATGCGGTAGGGAGAAGGCCACGTGAGGCACAATCGGCAGGGTTATCAGAGGAACTTATATGATACCAACGTTCGGGTGGCACTCTCTCTTGGATATATGCCACTCGATGGCTTACAAAGGTTTTCCATCGAAAAGCAGGAGACTTAATCCAGGATAGAGCCACCATTGAGTCTGACCAAGCAAATATTTTATTAATAGTTAAAACATCCTTATAAGAGGTGATAACAAATTCCATTAACTTAGATAACAAAACTGAGGCCATCAATTCTAACCGAGGAATTGAAAGGACTTTGAGGGGTGCTACCTTAGACTTTCCAGAAAGTAGAACAACTTTATGAGACCCATCTTGATACGTAAAACGAAGATATGTGACTGCAGCATATCCCTTTTCAGAGCTATCGCCAAATCCGTGTAGTTCGCACGAAGTAACGTTTTGTGGAAAACACCTAGGAATGTTTAATGCAGAAATTTGAGGTAGTTCAGATTTATACTGACACCATTTACTAACAATATCAGGAGGAGGTTGAGAGTCCCAATCTAACCCTAAAACCCACAGTTGTTGAATCAAATGCTTTGCAAAAAAAGTTAAAGGTGATAGAAAACCTATAGGGTCAAAGGTCCTGGCGATCTCCGAAAGAATAATCCTTTTAGAACAAGCTCTGTACATAGGTTGAACAGTATATGAGAACATGTCAAGAGAGGGATTCCATCTAAGACCCAACACTTTCACAATAAAATCATGGGTGTCGAACAACAGAGGAGATTGTTGACAATCACTAGGAGCTAGACTGGCTAATAAGCGAGGGTCGTTACAGGCCCATTTACGTAAAGAGAAACCACCCTTATGTAATAACGAAATAATCTCCGCTTGCAAGGCTTGTGTCTTTTCCAAAGTTTCAGCGCCGGTAATTACATCATCAATGTAAATACATGAGGTTAGGGCCTTAGCCGCAATAGGAAAATTATTTTCTTCGTCAGAAATCAATTGAGAAATGGTTCGGATGGCGAGAAAGGGGCTAGAAGAGACACCATATGTAACCGTTTTAAGTTTAAAATCTTGGACAGGATCTGTAGGAGAAAATCGCCATAAAATTCTTTGATAATCTTGATGATTATCGTGAATCAAGATTTGGCGATACATTTGTTTTATATCTGCAATAAATACAAAGGGATGAATTCGAAATCTGAGTAGCAGAGATATAATATCAGACTGAAGTTTTGGTCCCGTAAGGAGACTATCATTTAATGAGAGACCAAAAGAGGATTTACTTGAAGCATCAAAGACAACGCGAAGTTTGGTTGTGGGGCTATTAGGATTCGTGACACAATGATGTGGAATGTAATAAATATTTTCAAACGATAGAGGAGGC